ATCTTGAACTTGACATGATAGCAATAACATATATGCCAACTCCATAATTTCTTTATTGTGATTCTTAACCTTCCAATATTAGAAACAATCAGGTCTGAAACTGAAGAGAACAGGATTCACAAACTCTGGAAGATAGACTACAATCCACTTGCCAATTTCAATACGATGCCATACCTTCTAACATTCCAAAGCATTCTCTAGCGTACTTTGTGTGAGAGATGTCTAAAGTCATGTTACCATTCAATTCAACTGGATCTAAGACTTTAGACTCCACCCTATTCACTGACCCCTCTCCTTCCACCCAAAGGTGGGCTCTTCTTACTACAAATTCCTTATAGCTCTTTGTATTTGACTCTTATAGCCTCAACCTACAATGACATATAGTAAAATCATAACGCGTATAGTTGCCTTTTTTTCTAACAATGTAAACTTCTATAGGACTAAGATTCTTCCTGTGTCAGCCTAGAGGTATTTAAGAAGACGGTCAATAAATGAATGTTGACGCAATTCACCTTTAGAATCTGAGCCCCAATCTTTTCCTTCAAAGCTGCTTTCAAAAACACACTGCTGGGTCCTTGAAAAATTAAACATAAAACTGCCATATGATCCAGTAACTCCACTTCTGGGTATATACCCCAAAGAATTCAAAGCAGATACTTGAATAGACATTTATACACTCATGTTCACAGCGGCATTATTCACAATAACCAAAAGGTGGAAACAACCCAAATGTTCATCCATACATGAATAAACAAAATGTGGTATATAGACACATACAATAGAATATTATTCACCATCAAAAAGGTAATTCTGGCTCTGGCCAATGTGACTCAGTCAGTTGAGCTTTGTCCTGTGCACCAAAAGATCGCTGTTTTGGGGTGAAAAAAGGGGACATATGTAATACTTCAACAATGAAGAATTATTTTTTAAAAATTTAAAAAGAAAAAAAAGGTCACTGGTTGGATTCCTGGTCAGGGCATATGCCCAGATTTTGGGTTGGGGTATGTATGGGAGGCAACGAGTCGATGTTTCTCACATTGATGTTTTTCTCTCTAAAAAAAATAATAAAAAAATAAAAAATAAAATTTTTTTAAAAAAGGTATTTCTGACACATGCTACCGCATAGATAAACCTTGAAGACATTTTTCTAAGTGAAATAAGCCAGACACAACTGACAAATATTGTATAAGTCCACTTCTATGATGTGCTTAAGAGTAGTCACATTCAGAGAGAAAGTACAACAGTGGTTGTCAGGGGCTGGGGGGAGATTTATGTTATTGTTTAATGGGCATAGAATTTGAGAAAATGAAAAAGTTCTGGAAATGGATGGTGGTGATGGTTAACAATGTGAATGTACTTACTGCTACTAAACTGTACACTTAAAAATGGTTAAGATGCCCTGGCCAGGGTGGCCCAGTTGGTTGGAACATCTTCCCTGTACACCAAAACGTCACGCACGGGTTTGATTCCCTGTCAGGGCGCATACCTAGGTTGTGGGCTTGGTCCCCAGTTGGGGCACATAAGGAAGGTAACCTATTAATGTTTCTCTCACATCAATGTTTCTCTCTCCGCCCACTTCCCTCCTTCCCGTCCTCTCTCTAAAATTAATAAACATATCCAAGAAAAAAAATAAACATATCCTTGTGTGAGGATTAAAAAGAAAAAAAAAGCACACTGTTCCTTCTGTTTACTATCCTTAGACCAGAGGCAGCTGAAGTATAAAGAGCATGAACTCTGGAAACAGAATGCCTGGATCCAGATCCTGCCTTGAACACTTATTATATGTCTAACCTCACTGTGTTACTCATCTTTACAACATGGATTCCATAGTACTCACTATATAGGGTTACCATGAAGATTAAATGGGTTAATAAATGTATAGTGCCTAACTCAGTGTCTGGGACATAGTAAGGGCTACATAAATGTTGAATTCTTATTATTATTCAAGGAGGCAGATGTGCAGTTAGAAAATCATGTAACTGTCATTTTTGCAAGAACTACAGAAAGTAACTTAAACTCTTGGTTGGGGAATTAATGAAACCTTTTATGGCACTGCACTAAATTATTGAATGCTGTGAACATCTTTCAATTCCAACTAAAATTCACAGCCATTAACATCAGCTTTGCATAGTTCTCCAGTATCCTGTCTGCTTGCACTGAAGATGTAAACAGGACTATGCTTTGCCAGGAATTTTATCAAATTACTATACACCTCCTTCCTTAAAAAAAAAAAATATCTTTAAGTACAAATCTTATCTTCTTAATTACAAAATGCCAATCTATCTAAGATCTTTAATTCTGACAAACTACATAATATATAATAGTGATTTTTGGATACGTAAGAAACATTTATGAAAACTTTCCTAGGACACTATATCCAAGTTCTTACTTACCTTTTTTGTTGTTGTTAATTCTCACCCGAGGATATTTTTCCATTGACTTTTATTTAGAGAGAGTGGAAAGGAGAGGGAGAGAGAAACATTGATGTGAGACAGACACATCGATTGGTTGCCTCCGACACACACCCTGACCAGGGCCAGGGAACCTGCCCTTGACCAGAATTGAACCTGGGACCCTTCAGTCCAAGTGCTGACTCTCTATCCATTGAACCAAACCAGTGAAGGCTCTTATTTGAATTCTTAATGCCTATGTGGGGATTTGTGACCTTGCCACACCAATAAACAACATTCTCTAAAGGCAAGAATTAGGTCTTCCATTTCCCAGCACACAGCATTGCAAATAGTGGGAACAACCATGTGTTGACCAATCCTGAGTAGTAAATTCTCCACTATTTCACTATCTTGTCAGTTTATAGTATCAGAAAAAACACCCAGGTTTTCATTTCCAAACCAATTATATTATAGCCACCATTAAGTCAAACTAAAAAGCTACTGTTGCCACTCCTATTTCGTTAGCTGAAAAGGTGGGGCTTACTCTCTCCACACGTGTCTAGCCCAGGGCACCAAGCTCTCAGTCCTAACTGAGCAAAGCACAAATCCAGAATTTAACTTCAGTTCAGACAATTAGCCAGAGGGCTTGCTCAGATGTTAGTAAATTTAAAAAAAAACACACCAAAACCCACATTCATTCAATGTTTATTTTCTCATGAAAACTATCAAAAACGCTTAACTTCTCATAAGAAAAGAGTGCATCATGTCAGAGCAAAATCTCAACTGAAATGGTTTATTAAACCTGAAGTGTCCTAAGGCAAATACCCAACTCACATTGTAGGGGCAATGCTACATGTCACAAACAACTCTGCACTAGTCCTCGACTTCACCCTTCTTTCTGTAATAAAACGGGGCATGAACATATATTTTATAAACTACAAACAAAAATTGGTCTAGATGTTCTAACATAAAACCAAACTTTTCAAGAACACCTATTGTTACTTAAATTGCAACTCATTTCTTTGTAAAATTAAGCAGAAGAACCACCTGTACAAAGAATGCATTAACAAATTTAAGGGTTGAAGAAACCAAAGTATTATATGCAAAATATGAGTTTTTAAATAAACCACCATCTTTTATAAACAGATCATTTTAATATCAAATGTAAATCTAACCCTTCCTTTTCGAAATCTGAGCCTTATGAAGAGCAGGAGCTTCCACAGCCTTTTCATGGCTGTGTTTGAAGTCCTAAGGCACCGAAACAGTGGCTAAGTCTAACTAACTATACCCATCACCCCATTGGCTCAAAGGAAAGCCGGCCCCGTATAACCACGGTAACTGAACATCAAGGGAACTACAGAAAAGGCTGTCCCCGGCTACATTTCTAGACTCTGACAATTCTCTCTGTCCTTCCCCCAACCATGATCACAGCACGAGCAGAGTTCGACCGCAGACTTCAACCAAAGAACCTCATCCTCCAAAGTACAACCAAAAGGAGAGTGGTGCCGACCACGCTCCCATTCTCCAAGATGTGCGGTGCCATCCTCATTGCAAGGACCAAGACAGAGACAACAGCTCCAGCACGGGACCCTCGTGCCCCATGCAACAGGCACCGCAGAACACTAGAACAGTTCATGACACCGCCACCTCTCGGGTCGGAGAGGAAGGGGCGGCGCGACTCCAGACAGCGGGATCCTCCGAGCCCGGCTTCGCGTGCCCAGGAGGAAGAACGGGGGGGGGGGGGGGGGGGGCGTGGTATCATTTGTTCATACAGCCTCTCCGGCCAACCGGATCCCAAGAAGGCGGACTTCACGCACCCTCTCCGCCTCCTCCCAGCCCCACGCGGGAGACCCCCTCTCGTCCCACACCCCAGCAGACCCGCGCGCCGCCCCCAGCCGAGGCTCCGCCTACCTCGGGAGGACCGGAGAGGGAGGTCAGGCACAGACAACACACAGCGCAGGGCCAGACCCGCCCCATTCTCCGCTACCGCACGCGCGCGCCGACCCCGCCCCTGAGCAGCGGCGCGAGAGCCCGCCCTCGCCGCGCGCACCGGGACTACGCTCTCCTCCCCCTCCCGCACGAAGCTAACCCGCTCCGCCCTCCCCACCCCCTCACACAACCACACACCTCCCGTCCGCCGGCTCTACGGGAAGCCGAGAAGGTCAGTCACCCCCTTAAAAATACACACCCTCGAGTCCCGCGTTACCCGCCACCAGGATCCCCGGCCCGGCGTGCTCTCACCGCAAAGCTGCTACGGCCGCTTCTTACTGCGTGTCCCTCTCAGCATGAGGCCCCGCGAACGGCGCAGGGCATAGGCCCACCGAAGAGGACTGGCAGCTCCCTCTCCGCTAACGAAGCGGTCACAGGCCCCGATGCCCAGACTAGGAAGGAGGGAGGGAGGGAAACTCTGAGGGGTAAGGGGAGGGGGGGTGAGATGGAGAAACCGTCCCCGCCGCCTCTACCGCCGCGGCCGCTTCTCTGTTACCCGGGAAATCCCGCCCACTCCGCCGGCCCGCCCCGCATAGGGAAGACTCAGCTTCGCTCTGCCACAGGTCGCATAATCTGTCTGTCAAAGATTTAGCCAATCGCTGTGCCCTGTCTACATTATGCCCGCCCCCTCCCCCTCTGCAGGGCGGGGAGAGGGAATCGCTCACCTTCTCCACGCCCCTATTGGCGGGGAGCTACCCAAACTCAACCCCGCCTATTGGAGATGAATTGCTGAATCCCACCCCCAAGCCGCAACACTATTGGAGGAAGCATAAAAGCTCCTTTACGTCTCATTGGAGGATTCCACATATCACGCCCCATGCCGTCTCAGCTACAGACCCAACAAGTCAGCTCTCGCCCTCGCCGATCATCGCATTGGAAGGCTCTCCCACTGCCCTAGGAAGGTAAGTAATCGATGTGGGATAAAATGTCCGTGAGACAAGCTCCTCCTATCACACTGCCGGGCCATGCCCCGCCCCCAACCATTGTATTGGATAGCTCTCGCCTGATAGAGGCCCCCATTGGCCAGGACACCCGTCCAAGAAGGAGCTGACTCCGCCCCGCGCGAGGAGGCTGAACCTTAGCAGTCCTTTTGTGGAATGTTTACACTAGAGACTGAACGCAGAGTTCCAGGGCCGAAACGGGAGGTGCCGCCCTCCAAAGCCGAGATTCTATCCCTGGGATTAGGAGAGAGGCAGCGGCAGGCACAACCACCTTGGATAAACCCCGCCCCCTATACAGAGAAAGAGAACCTCATCCTTCCTATCCCATTCACTCTTTATAATTTACATTTCTTCACGCTGCCTCCTCGTAAACACAAATATCCGGAGCAGCCGACAATTCCTTTTAGTAAGGAGGGTGCAGAATAAGAACTGGAGATCAAAGCCGAGAAATAGCCCCAGGGGTTGCCAACCCGCAGCACACTTCTCCATAAACCTGAAAAAGCAGTCTTAAGAGGGCGGAGATAATAAAAATGAAGGCAGGGCTCTAACAGCCATGGCCCTGGGAGGCGGAGCGTGAAGCAAAAGGCACTCGCGATCTCCAGGTTAGAGGCATCCTCAGACTGGAAGAACTGAGGAAGTAGACCAAACAGGCCATGGCATAAATAAACCTTCAGTCAAACTTCAGAAAAAGGATACAAATTAGAGTTGGGGACAAAAGATAGTAAGAACGGCTGCTCACCTCCTCCTTGGAAAGCGAGGGTTAATGGCAATCCTTAAGCCCTCTCTTTGCCATAGTGCTTCGAACACACAAAGTGCTTGAAGTCTTTAGGTTGCTTTTATTTATTCATCAAATAGGGCGGAGAACTGATGCTAGCCATGTTTTGGAGGGTGCTCACTGAGCGCCAGAAGAGAAGGGGGCGGGACTAGAGTTTTCCCGCTCTCTCCAGCCAAAGGCTACTGCAAGAGAGCCTACTAGACAAGTGTCAGGCCCCAGAAACCTAAGTCCTAATGTGCCCTCCCTACCCAATCGGGCGGAGACGGCAAGGAATGAGCGCCGGCAACAGGTGGGCCTGACTCGAAGGACGGCTTCAAGCCACAAGGACAAGGCAGCTAATTCTGAACCCCAGGAGCAGCCGACAAATGGAAGCAGCCTCGCTGGGATCCAAGTCCTGCCCAATAGAGTTCTAAAAATAAGTCACACCGAGGAAAGGGAACCCCGGACCAAAACCTTCGGTTTCGAAGAAGCGGCATTTCCGAGGGCTGTTAACTCTAGGTCGACCCCGCTCCCTGCACTGTGTGCCACACTGCACTCCCACCTGACCACTTCGAACCCAAGCAGGATTCATCACGTCAACAGGGGATGAGCTCCTCTGGATCTTGCCTGAGGCCTCCAGACCAATCATACATAGGTTGCTTAGAGTTTTAGATAAACACAACTAAGGACAACGGCTGCCTTACGCTGGGAAGAAAACACAACGGCCGCAGCGTTTTCAAGCTTAAACAGAGGACGATCTTTAAAAAGTCCAAGGGCGCAGGAATAAGCCAGGCGGCAGGGTCAGCACTTTAGTACTTCGCCCGGAAGAGCAGATCCCTCTCTCTCCTTCTAACCCATTCTGATCAACCGGAACTAAGCCCCCTCCCCCCAATTCTCTCCGCACCGTCAACCCCTAACTTCATCGCAAAGGCTACTAGATATCGAGCCTTGGTGGAATGAATCATTGTGTGTCTTCTTGGCTCGCCCCGCCTTGCCACGGGCTCCAACTCCAAAGCCGGGACTTCCGGGCGGGACACACTTCTAAGGAGCAAGGCGGGCCTCACCAGTGGTCGAGCGCGCATACAACCCAAGAGAGGGGGCGGGGAACAGGGGTGGACTTCCTCCTCCAAGCTAGCTACGCCAGAGGCGGGACTATCTATCCCACCAATCAGAAGTAGGGGAGGGACCTTGCGCCTCGCGTTAGGCCGTAGGAATCCCTCCTCCTCCGTTCACGAAAAAAAAAAAAAATCCTCGAACTTAAACTCCAGCCCAGCGTCCGATAGGCGGAGCTCGGAAGAAGGTTATCCAATCAATAACCGAGAAGGAAAAAAGGGAGTCTCACCGCCCATCCAGTGGAAGACAAGAGAAGGCGGGCCTTCTGGAGGAGCCCGAAATGGGTGGAAGAGAGGGGGAAAGGCCCCGCCCCCCAGCTCTCCTCCGGGTCTGGACAGGCGGTTGTCGCAGTAGATAGTAAACAGGCTAGGGCTAGGCTGAGGCGTGGAGGCAGGAGCGGCTGGGCCCGACGTGGGCCCGGCCTCTGCGCCTCCTCCCTCGGAGACGCTCCAGCCGACCGCAGCGGTTCCCGCCAACGCCCCGCCTACCAGTCGGCGGCCGCCATTCCGGCTGACAGGCGCGCCCCCCGCGCCCCTCCCCGCCTGCTGATGCATTTCCTTTTCCCGAGTCTGAGCGTGGAGACTGTTTTCCCAGTTTCCGACCTTCACTGCTCCTCTCAACTAACCCCCGTGGGTACGCTCATAAGCCGCGCCCCCGCCCCTTCGGCTGTTGCCTTGGGGTGGGCGAGGAAGGAGGCAGCTCCTTGTGTGTGGGATCAGCTGGTGCACGGGTCGAAGCCACCGAGTTGTTGGAGGTTTTCCACAGCCGCGGACCGAGTTGGCGCGAGCTCGCGGCCTGGCGGGCTCCAGCGCCGAATGCCGGTTCTGCCACGGCCGGGGAATCCGGAGCGCCTAGGCCAGCGCGGGGGGCTCTTTCCGGTGGCCTTCCCGCCCCCGGCCGCCCCTCCCGCTAGGCCCGCGTTGCCCCCGCCCCCAGAGTCCATAACAACCGTGGCCCCAGGCACTCGCGCCTCTCAGGAGCGCGCCCACCGTCCCTCCTACAGTTTGCGTATAGAAACGAAACCCTCCGGGCGCCAGTCATGATCGCCCGGCGTGCTCAGTCGCGGAAGCCGCGGGCCTCGGCTCGCTCCCAAACTCCAGCTCTCGACCCACTCCGGCGCCGAGGGCTCAGGCCTCCGCCCCTGCCGAGCCCGCGCGCCGCAGCCCGGGCCCACTTCAGTCGGTGTGCAGAATCACCCTTTTCCCTTTACAATAATTTTTTTAATGCTTTCAAGGGAGACCCCTCCTGCCCGACACTTAACCCAGTCCCCAGCCGCAACCAACCGAAACCAACGGCTCAGTGAAACAAACTAGGCGGCACACCGGCGCGCTGGCGACCCCGGGCCGGGCCGACCCGCCCACGAAACCCGCCTGGCTGGGAAACACACTGGCGAGCGACGACGCAGAGATCTCCTTCCTGGCCTGGCCCTCGCCTCCCTCGGACCCGGAGCCTCCCCTAGTTTCGTCCCGAGGCCCACGGCGCCCGCACCGTGGCGAACAGGCCAAAGCGATCGGCCGGCTAACTAGCCCCCCAAACGCTTGAGATTGGGGGGGAACAAATTAAAAGCAGCTGTTTAACATACCTTGGGAGCCTGGCGAGGAGTCCTGAATGGGGAGAACGCCCCCCATGGGCCATTGGCTCCCCGGCGCTGGCGTCAATCACCCTCGGCCCGCCCCCTCCGCTTGCCCCACCCCTTCTCTTCATTGATCGCCCCCTTCCTCCAAAATAAATACAAATAAATAGATAAACTAGCCTCGTGTGGGAGGCGCTTCTGTAGCAGAGGCCCCTGTCTCTCCGACACCGCCGCCTCAAGTTTCTTGAGGCCTTTGGACCGGAGGGAGACCTTCTGGAACTTGACCCGCGGGGCGGGGGGCGCGGAGGAGGAGCCGGCGGGGCTACGACAGCCCCACTTCCTTCACACCCGCACCGCGATCGGACCTGGGCAGCGGGAGGCGATAGGGACACCCTAGGGTTTGGCTGGGAGCATCCCGACTCCCCTGGCTGTGTAACCTAACCGTGTCCGGCCCATTCTGGTAGGCACCAGCCTAAAAATGAACTGTGTAAGCAGGAAATCCTGCGTTCAGCCAACAGGCACTAGTCTGAGCACCTACCCTGCGTTAGGCAGACACATTCATACCCCACTTGCTGCTGGGTGCGATGGCAGAGACTAGATGAAATGCTTGCTCTGTACCTTCCAGGGGCTCTAACTGAGGAGATGCCACAGAAAGAGCGAAAGCAAGGCAGAAATGTTTATATAAACAGATATCCATAGGAGCTTAGAGCAGGGAGATTCTTTCTAGCTGAAGAAAACTAGGGAAGTCTTCCTCATGGAGGAGGTGGTACTCAGGTTAGGTCTTTTTTTAAAATATTTTTATTTATTTAGTGATTTTAGAGAAGAGAGAAACATCAATTTGTTGTCCCACTTATTTATACATTTATTGGTTGATTCCTTTATGTGCCCTGTCCCAGGGATAGAACTGAAACCTTGGGGTATCAGGACACTCCAATCAACTGAGCTGCCCAGTCAGGGCTCAAGTTGGGTCTTAAATTATTTCATCAGGCAGAAATGGAGAGGTATGTCATTTTCAACAAAGGACACAAAGGAGTAAATGCAAAACATTATTAAGGGCCTTCAAGTGTGGCTCTAGTCATGAAAATTAGGGTTGCAAGGATGGGACCAAACAGTAAAATACTTTAATACCTGATTAAAATTCTTAGAATTACACAACAGAAAGTACAAGCACTATGGTCATAGGACTACGGGCCCAGAACTATGGATTCAGATACTCAGCATTCCAGTACCTGGTAGGTTCTGAGGGTGGGTTAAGTGAGGGCTACCTACACGCAGCAAGGTGAGGCACAAAGGCTGTTGTAAATACTGGGTTTGGAGAATGCAGAGGTACATCTTCTGGTGGAAGAAGTAGGTGGGAAGAACCAAGAGATGGCTTATTTTCTCTCCCAGCAACCCAACCCAGAAAACCTTCAGCAGCCCTCAAGTCAAAGCTCTGACTCAGATCCTTTCTTGAATAATTTACATTGTTATAACTTTCAACCAAAAGGAGTTTCTGAGTGGGGCAGAGGCTACCTCACATGTCTGTGCTAAACAGAGCTGAGCCTGAGGCCAGGGCTCATAGTGAGGAAGAAGGACCTGTTGATTGAGGCACCCAGAAAAACTAGGAAAGTCTTCCTCAGGAAAGGTAGCTAGTGTGGATGAGGTATTGTGTGCAGAATGTGAAGGGCCTTGAGTCCCGTGGGCAGAATGGGGACTGCAGGAGAGCATTTGGTATCTTGCTCCCCAGTGTGTCATCAGTTTGGTTCAAATAAACTCAAAAATGCAAAAAACAAAAAAAAGGGTGGGGGCCTGCTGCCGGTTAGACTGTCCAAACAATCCAGGTGAGATGTAATAAGGACTTAACCAGGGCAGTGGCCATAGGTAAGCAAGAATAAAAAAGGAGAGATGTGTTTGAGAAATTCTCAAGGGAACTGGGTGGCTGGTTCTGTGTGGGTAACAGAGGAAAAGGAGTCAGTGGCCTGGTGTTTGAAGAGGGAGAAGAGCTTGAGGCTATTGGTTAGGTAATCTGGGTTCTAGATTTAGCCTGGCCAGTGATTGGTGATATATTTAGGCAAGTCCTTTCCTCCCTCTGGGCCTGTTTTCCCCCCTGTGAAATGGGGTGTTAATTGAAGTAGAAAGACAGGCTCTAAAGCCCTTCTTTCACTTAAGAGTCCATGGGGCTAGGGCGTCACACAGGGAAGGAAACTTGACACTAAGGAGAGAGGGCAGGAGGGAAGAAATACTGATTTGGGAAGGGCAGTGGGTCATAAAGATGCAGCCTGCACTAGGATCTGGGTGATAGCTTGGTTGACAGAATCATTGAGAGAAAAGGGTCTGCAGGGAGAAAGGCCAAGATATAAGGACTGTGTATTCAGTGGGAGGCCCAGCACCTGGCAGGGCCATGAGGGTTGAGATTTATTCTCAGAATGGGGGCTCCCTAGGGACTCCATTCATTTGATTGTAAGTCTGGACAGCACATGGTACACTGTGGATGAAGTTACTTGTGGAGAATTTACAATTAGAATAGTTAACCCCACTCAAGAGAACCAGGTTTCACTGATACTCCCTATCTTCCTAAGTGCACCAGGCTGGTGGAAATCCCCTCCTGAACACACCTTAGACCAGCAGTGGGCAAACTATGGCCCGCAGGCCAGATTCGGCCCGTTTGAAATGAATAAAACTAAAAAAAAAAAAGACCGTACCCTTTTATGTAATGATGTTTACTTTAAATTTATATTAGTTCACACAAACACTCCATCCATGCTTTTGTTCCGGCCCTCCGGTCCAGTTTAAGAACCCATTGTGGCCCTCGAGTCAAAAAGTTTGCCCACCCCTGCCTTAGACTGAGTTCCACTAGGAAAGTGGTCGGCAAACTGCGGCTCGGCAAACTGCGGCTTGCGAGCCACATGGGGCTCTTTGCCCCCTTGAGTGTGGCTCTTCCACAAAATACCGACTTCTGTGCATTGGCCATGAAGTTTCTTTCTTTCTTTTGTTTAAAAAAATATTTTATTGATTTTTTACAGAGAGGAAGGGAGAGGGATAGAGAGTTAGAAACATTGATGAGAGAGAAACATCGATCAGCTGCCTCCTGCACACCCCCTACTGGGGATGTGCCCCCAACCAAGGTACATGCCCTTGACCGGAATCGAACCTGGGACCCTTGAGTCCGCAGGCTGACGCTCTATCCACTGAGCCAAACCGGTTAGGGCAGGCCACGAAGTTTCAATTGCACTGTATGTGCGCGCCCACACGTGGTATTTTGTGGAAGAGCCACACTCAAGGGGCATGTGGCTTGTGAGCCGCGGTTTGCCGACCACTGCACTAGGACAACCACTCTAATTCACCACAGCAGTCGAGCACAGGAGACCCTTTGGGAGGGGTTTAGCAATTGTTTCTGATTCAGTACACCGATGCCTGCATAGCAGAGCAAGTCCCAGACTCTTTGGGAAAGTGAGTGTAGTAAAACCTCCATATAACAGACTAATTTGGGTAAGGCGGTGTCCATTAATGCCTAAAATCCATCTATATATATCTCCTATATAATAAAAGGGTAATATGCAAATTGACCCTAACAGCAGAACAACTGGGAATGACTGGTCGCTATGACACACACTGACCACCAGGGGGCAGATGATCAATGCAGGAGCTGCCCCCTGGTGGTCAGTGCACTCTCACAGGGGGAGCTCTGCTCAGTCAGAAGCCAGGCTGATGGCTGCCAGCACAGCGGTGGTGGTGGAAGCCTCTCCTGCCTCCTCACCAGTGCTAAGGATGTCTGACTGCAGCTTAGGCCTGCTCCCCGCTGGCAAGTGGACATCCCCCGAGGGCTCCCGGGCTGCCAGAGGGATGTCTGATTAAACTAGCTTAGGCCCAATCCCCTGAGGAGAGGGCCTAAGCCAGCAAGTGGACATCCCCCGAGGGTTCCCAGACTTCGAGAGGGCACAGGCCAGGCTGAGGGACCCCCCCCCCCCCCAGTGCACAAATTTTTGTGCACCGGGCCTCTAATATATATATATATAAAAGCCTAAGTGACCAAACAACCTGTCACTATGAATGCACACTGACCACCAGGGGGCAGACTCTCAATGCAGGAGCTGCCCCCTGGTGGTCAGTACGCTCCCACAGCAGGAGCGCTGCTCAGCTGACCGACGGGCGCCAGACGCTGGGGGACAGACACTGGGGGCCGGTGCGAGCCTCTCCTGCCTCCACAGCAGCGCTAACGAGCGGCAGCAGCAGGCACAGGGGGCCAGGATGAGCAGAAGCAGCGCAACACTGGGCTCGGACTCCTCCCTGGCCGCCTGCCGCTTTGTGCACTACTACATCTCCTGAGGGGTCCCAGATCGCGTGAGAACACAGGCCAGGCTGAGGGACCACACCGGTGCACGAATCCGTGCACCGGGCCTCTAGTTATATAATAAAGTAGGTTTTCCCAATGGGTATGTTAAAAAATTGATAAAATAGCTAACCTGTTTTTACTCATGTAGACATGTTTGTGTAATTACAATTAAGTATGTGTGAAAAGTTTAATTTCACAGAAAAGTTTCCTATATATATTATTGTAATTTTAAATTTATACTGAATAGGTCTAGTAAATGTGTGCATTAACCAGTCACTGTGAGTAAACAAATGCATACATCTGGGGTGTGGCTTAGCGCATGTGGGAACATCAGCCTGCATGTGTTAAAACTGCCACAGAGCCCACCAAGTGTGGCTCAGTGGTTGAACGTCAACCCATGAACCAGGAGATCATGGTTAGATTCTCTGGGTCACATGCCTAGGTTGCAGGCTTGATTCCCAGTAGGGGGCGTGCAGGAGGCAGCTGATCAATGATTCTCATCACTGATGTTTCTATCTCTCTCTCAGAAATCAATAAAAACATATATTTTTTTAATTGAAAAACTGACACAGAAAGTCACACAACATGACAACAGAATCAATTACCAGGCATGATGCTGTATGATCCTGCACAGGATCATATGCTAATCATTCTCCAAACATTGTTTATGAGCAGTGACTCTTAGGTTTAAA